CCGAAAAATTTTACCGAACGTCTTTTCTCTACATTCTCTACAGTCCCTTTTCGGAGCACCACTTGCTCTTATCTGAGTGTCCGTTATAAATAACTTAAATAAGTTACGACACTGGCTTGAACGAAGGGCACAGTCATCATCACTAAGGTGATCACTGATCACTTCAGTAGTTACCATGGTTACTACTAGTTACCATGGTAACTACTAAGGTGATCAGTGATTACCTTAGTAGTTACCATGGTTTAGTGACGACATATCAGCTCAGTCTTCCTTTCAAAGTGATAGTTACGTCATAGTGACGACATATCTCGTTAAAGTCCTTTCAAAGTGATATCAGTACCAAAATAGTGTAAAATATGTCCTCTATGTAACCATGAGACGCCATAATTTAATCAAGCAGTTACAAATTAAAACAGTTTTACAACACCCTGTTGTCGTAACATTGTCGTGTAACTATGGTAACTAGGTGTATCATAACTATCATAACTATCTTAACTAGACGCTACTATGATTGCCCTGAATTGCTGATTTCATTATCGCCAATATTCGCTACAAAATTCCTGTGCAATCAGACAAATCACACCTTACTAGACTCAAGGACGCTAAAATAAAATTCTCAATATTATCTCTCTTTTTTAAGTACTTAAGTATTAGACTATTAGGGCTACAAAATTAAAATAAATTAAGAAAAGGACAAATTCACACAGTACTCCCAGCTCCGTTCACACTTTACCAACTTGGAAACATCAACAAGTCTCTAGACTGACAAATGCTTATTATATGCTATTATATGCTATTATTTGCTATTATATGCTATTATATGCTATTATATGCTATTATATGTAGTTATGTGCTCCCTATTATATACCCTATCTGGTATCCCACCTATGTCAGTAGAACTTAGTGCTGTCTTGTCAACAGCACTGTATAACAATATTGATAGTCATTTCCTTGGCATGCTACGACGATACTGTTTTTTGTCCTTATAACGTACATACTAAAAGTAAAATTGTCTCTTCAGAAAATTCACACACTCCACCAGATTGTTCTTCAGTATCTCCCCGAATATAACTCTTACGTGTTGCTAGGTCACGTGTTGCTAGGTTACGTTTTGACATTCCTTCCGTTTGTATGTACTTCCTCTGAAAGTGGGTGTGTCAGCCCTCAAATGTTACATTGTGTATTCGTGATCGTTTGTATTGCATTTTTTGGGGATTAGGACATGATTTGATATAAATAATATTCAATGTTCTGACGCAGGGGTACACTACACCACTGTTCTGACGTTTTTGTAGCGTAAATTTAGTTCAGTTATTTGTGTCAACACATCATTCTGCCAAGAATTGCGTATTTAGGCTCTTTGATGATTTTGAATTGTATTAATTAGTTGGATTTGTGTCGTAGGTTTTTATTTTCAGTAGTTTTTATTTGTAGCAGCAATGCCTGAGAGATGGTCGACTGTTTTAAGAGCCGTTCGCTTCATACTTTATTCAAAGGTAATCAATATTTTGAATTTATTTTGTAGTGACGTTTTCGTGCACTTTCTCTTTTTAAAACGTCTGTCTTAGTCAAAGTTCCCTGTCTTCCAAGAAAATTTGCTTTGTTACTCTCTGTCATGTTTCGAACAAATAATTTGATTTAATTTTTTACTTATTTCTTTTTAACGGACCAACTTAACAAAAAATTTATATTTTCCGTTACAGGAATTTAAGCTCGGCACTTGTCAGGTGTTAACTTGGTATTCGTTCCAGGCACAACCAAAGGCTGAGGACTACTAGTTACCATAGTTACACTACTAGTTACCATAGTTACACTACTAGTTACCATAGTTACACTACTAGTTACCATAGTTACACTACTAGTTACCATAGCTACACTACTAGTTACCATAGTTACCAGGCATGGCTCCAGCTGATTATTCTTGGGGGGGGGGGGGGGGGGGCTAGGGGGCGGAGACCCTTTCTGAGGGGGGTCTAGGGGGGCTAAGCCCCCCGGAAAATTTTGCCTTTTTAGAAGCTAATAACCTTACCAGAAAGTGTCTGAATTAACTTGTTGAGTTCAATAAAACATAATGTTTTAAATGTGAAAATAAAGGTACAAATATTTTAATAACAATTAAAACATAATTGACACTGGGACTGTTCAATTCAACACAACTCAGCGGTTACTCTCAGCAAATTTGTCAATAATAACAGCAATGTCTATAATTTAAAATTTTTTAGAAAAAAAACCTGAAAAATCTTTAAAATTTGCTGATTTTAGCGTAAAATTGCCCTCAAATTAATTTTTGGGATTTTTTTCTGGGGGGGGTGCGCACCCCCCCCCCCCCCCGCAGCCCCCCTGTGGAGCCATGCCTGATAGTTACACTACTAGTTACCATAGTTACACTACTAGTTACCATAGTTACACTACTAGTTACCATAGTTACACTACTAGTTACCATAGTTACACTACTAGTTACCATAGTTACACTACTAGTTACCATAGTTACACTACTAGTTACCATAGTTACACTACTAGTTACCATAGTTACACTACAAGTTACCATAGTTACACTACTAGTTACCATAGTTACACTACTAGTTACCATAGTTACACTACTAGTTACCATAGTTACACTACTAGTTACCATAGTTACACTACTAGTTACCTTAGTTACACTACTAGTTACCATAGTTACACTACTAGTTACCATAGTTACACTACTAGTTACCATAGTTACACTACTAGTTACCATAGTTACACTACAAGTTACCACAGTTACACTACTAGTTACCACAGTTACACTACTAGTTACCACAGTTACACTACTAGTTACCACAGTTACACTACTAGTTACCATGGTTACACTACTAGTTACCCTGGTTACACTACTAGTTACCACAGTTACACTACTAGTTACCACAGTTACACTACTAGTTACCATAGTTACACTACTAGTTACCATAGTTACACTACTAGTTACCATAGTTACACTACTAGTTACCATAGTTACACTACTAGTTACCATAGTTACACTACTAGTTACCATAGTTACACTACTAGTTACCATAGTTACACTACTAGTTACCATAGTTACACTACTAGTTACCATAGTTACACTACTAGTTACCATAGTTACACTACTAGTTACCATAGTTACACTACTAGTTACCATAGTTACACTACTAGTTACCATAGTTACACTACTAGTTACCATAGTTACACTACTAGTTACCATAGTTACACTACTAGTTACCATAGTTACACTACTAGTTACCATAGTTACACTACTAGTTACCATAGTTACACTACTAGTTACCATAGTTACACTACTAGTTACCATAGTTACACTACTAGTTACCATAGTTACACTACTAGTTACCATAGTTACACTACTAGTTACCATAGTTACACTACTAGTTACCATAGTTACACTACTAGTTACCATAGTTACACTACTAGTTACCATAGTTACACTACTAGTTACCATAGTTACACTACTAGTTACCATAGTTACACTACTAGTTACCATAGTTACACTACTAGTTACCATAGTTACACTACTAGTTACCATAGTTACACTACTAGTTACCATAGTTACACTACTAGTTACCATAGTTACACTACTAGTTACCATAGTTACACTACTAGTTACCATAGTTACACTACTAGTTACCATAGTTACACTACTAGTTACCATAGTTACACTACTAGTTACCATAGTTACACTACTAGTTACCATAGTTACACTACTAGTTACCATAGTTACACTACTAGTTACCATAGTTACACTACTAGTTACCATAGTTACACTACTAGTTACCATAGTTACACTACTAGTTACCATAGTTACACTACTAGTTACCATAGTTACACTACTAGTTACCATAGTTACACTACTAGTTACCATAGTTACACTACTAGTTACCATAGTTACACTACTAGTTACCATAGTTACACTACTAGTTACCATAGTTACACTACTAGTTACCATAGTTACACTACTAGTTACCATAGTTACACTACTAGTTACCACAGTTACACTACTAGTTACCATAGTTACACTACTAGTTACCATAGGTTACACTACTAGTTACCATGGTTACACTACTAGTTACCACAGTTACACTACTAGTTACCACAGTTACACTACTAGTTACCACAGTTACACTACTAGTTACCACAGTTACACTACTAGTTACCATAGTTACACTACTAGTTACCCTGGTTACACTACTAGTTACCATAGTTACACTACTAGTTACCCTGGTTACACTACTAGTTACCATAGTTACACTACTAGTTACCACAGTTACACTACTAGTTACCCTGGTTACACTACTAGTTACCATAGTTACACTACTAGTTACCCTGGTTACACTACTAGTTACCCTAGTTACACTACTAGTTACCATAGTTACACTACTAGTTACCATAGTTACACTACTAGTTACCCTGGTTACACTACTAGTTACCATAGTTACACTACTAGTTACCATAGTTACACTACTAGTTACCATAGTTACACTACTAGTTACCATAGTTACACTACTAGTTACCATAGTTACACTACTAGTTACCACACTACTAGTTACCATAGTTACACTACTAGTTACCATAGTTACACTACTAGTTACCACACTACTAGTTACCATAGTTACACTACTAGTTACCATAGTTACACTACTAGTTACCATAGCTACACTACTAGTTACCATAGTTACACTACTAGTTACCACACTACTAGTTACCATAGTTACACTACTAGTTACCATAGTTACACTACTAGTTACCATAGTTACACTACTAGTTACCACACTACTAGTTACCATAGTTACACTACTAGTTACCATAGCTACACTACTAGTTACCATAGTTACACTACTAGTTACCACACTACTAGTTACCATAGTTACACTACTAGTTACCATAGTTACACTACTAGTTACCATAGTTACACTACTAGTTACCATAGTTACACTACTAGTTACCACACTACTTACAGGCACAACTAAAGGCGGAGGATGATGAAAACAGTGATCCAACAGATAACAGTATGCCCGACAGAACCAAAAAGAATAGACGTCAAAGCGCGGTCACTGACCATGGGGTATGTTTAAGGGTCCATTTGGGCATTAGGGGTTTCATTATTATTGTTCTTTTGTTTTAACCTGTTGAGGTGGAGTGTGTTCTCCCAAAACGGTTGGAGAGATGATAATTTTGCGGCTTTTTTACAATTTTCTAACTTTGTCTAGCTGAGTGAATCGTTAAGTCGGGTTCTTTCCGTTCTTCTAACACCAGCAACTGAACAAATTAGTAAATAAGTACACTCATCAGCTGTAACAGTAACCACCCTCAGTCGAACCTACAGAATATAAACGCACACGCAGCCAACATTAGGAACCAGGAAGCAGAGTTGGGGGTATCCGAGGAGGAGGAGGTTATGATCGCCCCCATGATCGTGGAGAATGGGGGAGGGGATAACAATTGGTCCAAACAGGCTCAGATCATGGACTCTAACATGGGTAAATATACATTATACATTATACATTATACATTATACATTATACAACTCTAACATGGGTAATTTTAGTGTTCAATCCAACTCTAACATGGGTAATTTTAGTGTTCAATCCAACTTTAACATGGGTAATTTTAGTGTTCAATCCAACTTTAACATGGGTAATTTTAGTGTTCAATCCAACTCTAACATGGGTAATTTTAGTGTTCAATCCAACTTTAACATGGGTAATTTTAGTGTTCAATCCAACTTTAACATGGGTAATTTTAGTGTTCAATCCAACTCTAACATGGGTAATTTTAGTGTTCAATCCAACTCTAACATGGGTAATTTTAGTGTTCAATCCAACTCTAACATGGGTAATTTTAGTGTTCAATCCAACTTTTCTGTCATTTTCGCGCTTAAATCTTAATTCAAGTGTAGATGTTTTTCGTTTTACCGCAATCATTAGAATCATAGTTACACTACTAGTTACCATAGTTACACTATTAGAATCGTACGTTGAAATTTGTCTTGCAGTATTCGGAAAGGATGAGCATCAGCCTCGATATTTTTCGTTATTTGGCACTCTGTCAGAATATCCGTATAACACTGGGAGGATGACGTTTCATCTACATTTACTGTCAAGATTCAAGGATTTTACTTTGATCAGGCCGTCCATACTGCCGGATACCACATATAATGGCAAGACACTGTAAAAAGTCAAGGTTGTGCATTCGAGTTTACTCCCTGAATTGTTCAAATAGTTTGCCGTTTGAATTCAGCCGGCCGTACAAAGATCTGAAATAAAATCCTGCTGTAGAATGTAGCGAGATATTGTGTATATACCATCGATCTGTCAAGGTGTCATTGGTCGTTACTCCTGTGTCTTGTAAAATTACCGTACCAAGTTAAATCTCAACACTTCCATTTAGTTTATACAATGTTTTGACTCATATCATCTTGTAGTTCCCCCACCACCGCCTCTAAACTCATATCATCTTGTAGTTCCCCCACCACCACCTCTAAACTCATATCATCTTGTAGTTCCCCCACCACCACCTCTAAACTCATATCATCTTGTAGTTCCCCCACCACCGCCTCTAAACTCATATCATCTTGTAGTTCCCCCACCACCACCTCTAAACTCATATCATCTTGTAGTTCCCCCACCACCGCCTCTAAACTCATATCATCTTGTAGTTCCCCCACCACCAGCCTCTAAACTCATATCATCTTGTAGTTCCCCCACCACCACCTCTAAACTCATATCATCTTGTAGTTCCACCACCACCACCTCTAAACTCATATCATCTTGTAGTTCCACCACCACCACCTCTAAACTCATATCATCTTGTAGTTCCACCACCACCACCTCTAAACTCATATCATCTTGTAGTTCCACCACCACCACCTCTAAACTCATATCATCTTGTAGTTCCCCCACCACCACCTCTAAACTCATATCATCTTGTAGTTCCCCCACCACCGCCTCTAAACTCATATCATCTTGTAGTTCCCCCACCACCACCTCTAAACTCATATCATCTTGTAGTTCCCCCACCACCACCTCTAAACTCATATCATCTTGTAGTTCCACCACCACCACCTCTAAACTCATATCATCTTGTAGTTCCACCACCACCACCTCTAAACTCATATCATCTTGTAGTTCCCCCACCACCACCTCTAAACTCATATCATCTTGTAGTTCCACCACCACCACCTCTAAACTCATATCATCTTGTAGTTCCACCACCACCACCGCCTCTAAACTCATATCATCTTGTAGTTCCACCACCACCACCTCTAAACTCATATCATCTTGTAGTTCCACCACCACCACCTCTAAACTCATATCATCTTGTAGTTCCTCCACCACCACCTCTAAACTCATATCATCTTGTAGTTCCTCCACCACCACCTCAAAAGACGGACGCTGCTCGGATCGCTATGATACAAGAGAGGCGGGAAAAGGCAGAGAAACGTTTGCGGAGGCGAAGAACAATCCTCAACATCAAGTCTGATGATGATAAGAAGCATAGAGATGATAGAAGTAGGTTTAAAACCAAGGACCACTGTGACACTGTGACACTGTGACACTGTGACACAGAGAGAGGTGACTTGTTTGTACCACTACTGACAGATACTACTGATGTTACATAGAGATGATAGAAGTAGGTTTAAAACCAAGGACCACTGTGACACTGTGACACTGTGACACTGTGACACTGTGACACTGTGACACTGTGACACTGTGACACTGTGACACAGAGAGAGGTGACTTGTTTGTACCACTACTGACAGATACTACCATTCAATAGATCAACAGGAATAGGTGTTAATGAGGACTGGAATGCGTTGGTATCATCACGTGATGCGTTCTCTCTTTTTAGCTCCAGTTGACTGACAAACAGCTGACAGACTTAACAGTAAACATAGGAGGAATTTAGTGTTTCTTATAGGTCCCATATTGTACTATGATTATTGTATGATTATTGTAGTAACCCCCCCCCCCCCCCCTTAAACTCACCCTCCCCCCCTTAAACTCACCCTCACCTCCCCCCTTAAACTCACCCTCCCCCCTTAAACTCACCCTCACCTCCCCCCTTAAACTCACCCCCCCCCCTTAAACTCACCCTCACCTCCCCCCCTTAAACTCACCATCACCCCTCCCCTTAAACTCACCCTCACCCCCCCCTTAAACTCACCCCCCCCCCTTAAACTCACCCTCCCCCCCTTAAACTCACCCTCACCCCCTCCCCTTAAACTCACCCTCCCCCCCTCTTAAACTCACCCCCCCCCTCTTAAACTCACCCTCCCCCCCTCTTAAACTCACCCCCCCCCCCTTTAAACTCACCCCCCCCCCCTTAAACTCACCCTCACCTCCCCCCCTTAAACTCACCATCACCCCCCCCCCCTTAAACTCACCCTCACCTCCCCCCCCCTTAAACTCACCATCACCCCCCCCCCCCTTAAACTCACCCTCACCCCCCCTTAAACTCACCCCCCCTTAAACTCACCCCCCCTCTTAAACTCACCCCCCCCCCCCCTTAAACTCACCCCCCCCCCCCCCCCCCCTTAAACTCACCCCCCCCCCCCCCCTTTAAACTCACCCCCCCCCCCCCCCCTTAAACTCACCCCCACCTCAGTTGGTCGTCAGTTTGAGGAGGTGGTCCGAGCAACTCAGAAACAGCACAAGGGCGACCTTCCGGAGAAAGACAGCGAGATTCTCAAAAATTCAAACAATAATAGTTGGTCCAGACTTAAAAACAAGATTGATGTTATCAAAAACATGAGAAAATCTGAACCTATTGATACTGGCAGAATAATTGACGAGGTTTTCATTAAATTTAAATGTTTAGCGCTTTCATATATTCTGCTGGAGCATTCTGCCTGGTTAAGGTCAATTACCCGTTTTCGGTAATGAATTAAACTAAAGTTAACTTAAAAGTTAACAATTTCTCTGCTTGTTAGTTATATATACCCTTCACAGAAGCCGGAAGTGGTAAACGAGAAGTGCATATTAGAAGAAGAGGATGAGGAAGTGATCCCTTCCTTCGACCCAGCCAGTCTCAGTCGACCTACCACTTTCAATATTTCGAACAGCTCGTTTGCTATCAAACGACATAACTTTGCAGACTTATCGGATAAAGACGATATTAATGTCAAAAGGGTTATAGAAACCAGACCAGTTCAGCCTGTAGCACCTGCCCCTGGTGCACCACCAGCTCCAAGACCACCTGGTGCGCCCCCAGCTCCAAGACCACCTGGAGCACCTCCTGCCCCTCCACCACCTCCCGGTGCCCCTCCTGCACCCAGACTTCCAGGCGCTCCTCCCCTGCCTCCTGCCCCTCGACCACCTGGTGCCCCTCCTGCCCCTCGACCTCCTGGTGCACCACCAGCACCTCGACCACCTGGTGCCCCGCCAGCACCTCGACCACCTGGTGCAGCACCTCGACCTCCTGGTGCCCCGCCAGCCCCTCGACCACCTGGTGCCCCTCCAGCACCTCGACCACCTGGTGCCCCTCGAGCTCCTGGCGCCCCGCCAGTCCCAGGTTCTAAATCAGACGGCGTCTCAGCCATGCGAAAAGTTGCTAACAAAAAAGATTTAGTAAAAGTTTTCTGGTCTAAGGTTAATCTAAATAAAACGACTGGACTGCCGCCTACCATTCCGGGTTACGCCGCCTCGAAAATAGAGTGAGTTTGATGCTTAGTTGTAGTGAACGCTGAATTTAGTCGTACAGAACGTACGTTCCAATCATTTTGTAGCGAACGTTTGTGAACGTTAGTGAACGTTAGTCGATATTTTGATAATTTTTCCGATAGTTTTTAACTTTAAAATATGAAATTTTCTGAACACAAATTTGACAGATTAGATGACATTTTTGCCCACAAACCAATTAGTCAGTTAATTGATGATGGTATGAAACCAAATTGGGGTACTGGAAGTCAAAATCCCGAATAAAATTGTAAAATCATATATTCCAAATCTCTGTCCCATTTTCAGTTTTTGAAAATGAAATTTCCAGGACCGAAATTATACAGTTTTTACTGAATTTCTCACCTGCAACCAATTAATAAGTCAACTATAGATGGCATATGACACGATTGAGGTGCTGGAAGTTTGATATCGGTCGGAGGAAGCCCACAGCAGAAAGCTTAAGAAAACGAAAAGTTGTATTTTCAAAATTCTGTCCCATTTTCAAATATGAAATTTTCTGAACACAAATTTGACAGATTAGATGACATTTTTGCCCACAAACCAATTAGTCAGTTAATTTTCGCTTTTTAAGCTTTCTGCCGCAGTGGGCTTCCTCCGACCGATATCATAAACTTCCAACACCTCAATTGTGTCATATGCCATCTATGACTATAGTTGACTTACTAATTGGTTGCGGGTGTGAAATTCAGTAAAAACTGTAAAATTTCGGTCCTGGAAATTTTAATTTCATAATAGCAATTAACGTTCCTTATGTTCCGAACGTTAAAATCTTTTAGCGAACGCGTTCACAAACTATTTTTAGTGAACGTTCCGTACGTTCACTACAACTAAGGTTTGATGAGTACCTTGTCATTGTGCAATTTATTGAGTTATAACGTTTTCATTTCTTCATTTGATTTTTTTCCCTACTCTTGCCGAAGGCAAAAAGATCGTAGGGAATAAGTAATCGGGTTTGGATATATGAGGTGGCCCGATGGACCTGCGATGATGACAAAAGTCTGCTCCTTCGAAATATAGACCACTCCCCTATAATTAAGTGTATAGGAAGCGTCTGTTATGCTGCGCGCGACGCTAGCCATGTGTTAATTAATTACAGTGAAATTCCTCCTTCGCAAAGTTATTTTCTGCAATTTTCTGGATTCATTTATTGTTGATGCGCGGCGCTGCATTGGTCAAATAAATCGTCAATTTTTACCATGCACGAATCCCACTCATTTATAAAAAACATAGTATGTAAATATGGTACACTTTTTTCCAGTCACACTTTTCACTCAAAAGAATTAATGGTACAAGTACATGGTAGAGAAAATTGATCGTGCGTGGTTTAACCGCGGCGAAATTCTTGTTATGGTAGTTTTTAAGTTTTGTTAAGGATTTCAAGTTCTGAACCTGTTTATATTCAGGTCTAAATCTATATGGAGGGAGCGCCCGGAGGTTAAGGTCGACTACGACCAACTCGCCGTTCTTTTCGCCAAAAAGAAGATAGAAACGAGTAAGTCCCTGGACACTGAAAAATCTACGGCGGCAAAGTTCATCAGAGTTCTGGAAGGCAACAGGTCCCGTACAGTAGGACTCCAGCTGCCTCATCTGCCAGCTGCTCGCCACATCAAACAAGCTATCCTCAACATGGACACTTCCCACATCACTCGAGAGGGCATCAGTGTGAGCACCCACGTAACCAGTAGTAACTATTAGTAACCAGTAGTAACCAGTAGTAACCAGTAGTAACTATTAATAACCAGTAGTAACCAGTAGTAATCAGTAGTAACCAGTAGTAACCAGTAGTAACCGTGGTTTTCTTCATTTCATTCAGTGCGTGTTGTGAGGCTGTGATTGATTATATTTTGCAAATGATACCAATGTCAAATACCGACCTCTTCAGTCGCTGGTTAAGTTGGTGCCATCTGAAGAGGAAAAGAACCAGATAACCGAAGCCAAGTTGGCTAATCCCGACATTCCGCTTGCCAAAGAAGAAGAGTTCGTGTACACACTTTCAGTAATCCCTAATATTAGGAATAGGCTGAACATCTGGGCTTTCATGATCGACTTCGACGCTTTGGAAGACGAGGTACGCTAGAATCTTATCGGTAAATTGATTTATGAAGGAGCATTGACGTAATGTTCCGCTTCCCAAAATTCTGCAAAGTTTTAACCATGCTACAGATCAAGTGGTCCAAGTTAGTGTATTAATTGTATGATATGTACTCTCAGGTAATTGGATTGATGCTTTTTATACAAAGTTAAAACAAATTCTGCATGTTGTGCATCCTGGGTTTGGACAGGATTTGCCCGCTCAATAAATGTAATGTATTTGTAGTGTTGTAGTGTTTGTAATTAGTTAATTACTGTCAGGTAGCGGACTATCTGATGGATCTGAAGGAATGCTGCTCGGAACTGAAATCTTGTAAAACACTGCATCTCATCATTAGTTACCTTCTGGAGATTGGCAACTTCCTCCGCCAGGTACACGCTCCTATTTTCCATAGCTCATTAGTGATTTAGTAGCGAATATGGTGGTAAACAAAAATAATAATCATAGGTATCATGTAACAAAAAGTGTGCGTCCACACGTGCAAACAGAAGATAAACTCATTCCTGCGCAGGAAACGTGTGACAGTCTCGAGTTGTAACCAGTAGTAACCAGTAGTAACCAGTAGTAACCACATAGTAACCACATAGTAACCACATAGTAACCACATTCCTCCGCAGGAAACGAGTGACGGTTTCGAGTTGTAACCAGTAGTAACCAGTAGTAACCAGTAGTAACCACATAGTAACCAGTAGTAACCACATAGTAACCACATAGTAACCACATAGTAACCACATAGTAACCACATTCCTCCGCAGGAAACGAGTGACGGTTTCGAGCTGACGTTTCTGAGCAAAGTGGCGGACATCAAGGACACAGTTAAAAAGCAAACCATGGTACACCACGTAGCCTGCATGATGCACCAGAACCACCCAACTCAGGGGGACCTGCACCGGGTAAAATAAAATATAATAATACCTGGGGGGGGGGCTAAATATAATATTACCTGGGGGGGGGGGGGGGGGGGGCTAAATATAATATTACCTGGGGGGGGGGCTAAATATAATAATACCTGGGGGGGGGGGGGGGCTAAATATAATAATACCTGGGGGGGGGGGGGGCTAAATATAATAATACCTGGGGGAGGGGGGCTAAATATAATAATACATGGGGGGGGGGGGGCTAAATATAATAATACCTTTTGGGGGGGGGCTAAATATAATAATACATTGGGGGGGGGGGGCTAAATATAATAATACTTGGGGGGGGGGGGGGCTAAATATAATAATACTTGGGGGGGGGGGGGGGCTAAATATAATAATACATTGGGGGGGGGGGGCTAAATATAATAATACTTGGGGGGGGGGGGGGGGGGCTAAATATAATAATACATTGGGGGGGGGGCTAAATATGATAATACCTGGGGGGGGGGGGGGGCTAAATATAATAATACCTGTGGGGGGGCTGTTGAGTGCTGGGGGGGGGGGGGGGGGGGTCTGCTGACTGCTGAAGGGAGGGGGCTAAATATAATAATACCTTGGGGGGGGGGGCTGTTGAGTGCTGAGTCTGAGATGGCTCGCAGTCTGTCCTCGTAATACTCTGGCAACCCTTGCGGACAAATTTCGGTTACCACTTAGCAGTGTCCACCACTTACCAGTGTCCACCACTTTTTGGGAAAATGATTCCTGGAAAATATTATAAAATATACCCCCCCCCCCCCCCCCCCCCCCCCATATAACCACAACTGAACAAGGGATTGATTTGTTGGAATTTTGTTTGCCTTAAAAACCACAAAAAATTCGATCTGTTAGAATTGTTAATCTGTACTTTGTATTAACAGTATTTACTGTTCAGGAGATAGGACACACACACAGAATATGTCGGATCTCGTTTGACGAGGTGGGCGCCACTTTAGAGAAGATGGATCAACTTTGTGATCGTAGTTGGGAAGATCTCCGCATCATAAGGTTTACTTTACACTTACCAGTAGTAACCACATAGTAACCACATAGTAACCACATAGTAACCACATAGTAACCACATAGATCTCCGGATCATAAGGTTTACTTTACACTTCGAGATTTCCTTTTTTCCTGTGAAGGTTGCGCTGCAAAAGAAAAGTCTAGAAATGATGGTCGTGGTTTTGTTGTCCACATTTTCTCCTTGTTATGATAGTAAGTTTTCAAATTGTATCTTGCATTAAATTTGAAAACTTTATTTTTCCACCAGCAAACACACGTCTTCTACAAACGAAATTATGCAGAAGCAGTTGACCTTTTTACGATCGGTTGCTGAGCGGATTAATATCTTGAAACTAGTGAATAAAAGGGTTGCCAACAGATATTATAATTTACTACTCTACTTTGGAATAGATCCTGTAAAAAAGTGAGTTTTAAAATGTCACCTTTTCTTTGGCGTTAGTGAAAGATTCGCTGTGCAACTGCTTATTTCAGTGTTCGAATAACCAACTAAACCTCTCTGTTTCTGACTGAAGATGTTAGATTTGACAGAATCGGAAGAACCTATCTGAATTCATGATAGCTTATCTAGCTTATCTAGCTTATCTAGCTTATCTAGCTTATCTAGCTCATCTAGCTTATCTAGCTTATCTAGCTTATCTAGCTTATCTAGCTTATCTAGCTTATCTAGCTTATCTAGCTTATCTAGCTTATCTAGCTTATCTAGCTTATCTAGCTTATCTAGCTTATCTAGCTTATCTAGCTTATCTAGCTTATCTAGCTTATCTAGCTTATCTAACTTATCTAGCTTATCTAACTTATCTAGCTTATCTAGCTTATCTAGCTTATCTAGCTTATCTAGCTTATCTAGCTTATCTAGCTTATCTAGCTTATCTAGCTTATCAAGCTTATCTAGCTTATCTAGCTTATCTAGCTTATCTAGCTTATCTAGCTCATCTAGCTATCTAGCTTATCTAACTTATCTAGCTTATCTAGCTTATCTAGCTTATCTAACTTATCTAGCTTATCTAACTTATCTAGCTTATCTAGCTTATCTAGCTTATCTAGCTTATCTAGCTTATCTAGCTTATCAAGCTTATCTAGCTTATCTAGCTTATCTAGCTCATCTAGCTCATCTAGCTCATCTAGCTCATCTAACTTATCTAACTTATCTAGCTTATCTAGCTTATCTAGCTTATCTAGCTTATCTAGGACGGCCTATTTCCCTGGGTAACATTCAAGGGAAGATTTATTTGGCGATCCTGGCGAAGAGGTTGACCAGCTTTGTTGTCTCGAATGGATATGTAGACCTCTCTATACAGAAGGGTGGTGTGCCAGGCGTCCGTGGGTGCACGGAGCATTTTGGTGCCATGTGGGAGGTACTGAAGGAAGCAAAGGTCAAGAAGAAGGATCTGAGTGTGGTATGGCTTGACCTGGCTAACGCTTACGGAGCGGTACCCCATGTTCTGATTGCCAGGGCCCTCCGTTTCTACAACGTCCCCGAGAAGGTTATCAATATTATCCTACGGTACTTCTCCGGGGTATTCGGAAGGTTCTCCTCAAGAACGGTGACATCAGACTGGCAGCAGTTTGAGATAGGAATCTTCATGGGGTGTGTGATATCAGTCATCTTGTTTGTCTTGTGCATGAACCTTGGGCATGAACACCTAAAGTCTAAGGTTCCGAGAAGCATTGAGTACATCAAGGATGACACACCGATACCAACTCTGAAGCTGTTTATGGACGATAGCTGTCTGACGACCGCACGTGCAGAGGATATGCAAACGTTACTCAATGTGTTTCAGAAGTACGTGGACTGGTCCAGATTTAAGTTAAAGTCCTCCAAGTCCAGAGCACTGGTGTTGAAGAAGGGAGTAGCTGTGAGGTGGGTTGAGGAGGTAGTGGTAGGAGAGGAGGAGGTGGAGAGAGAAGAGTTGTGTTTGCAGTTGGGTGGTGAGGTGATTCCGAATGTGTCAGAGAAGCCGATAAAATTCCTTGGGAGATGGATAAGAGTGGAAGGAAATGACAAATCAGTCATCGACTCAACCAAGGTCGACCTTAACACTTTTCTTCGGAGACTCGATGAAAGTTCCCTTACTGGACTCCAGAAGTGCTGGGGATATCAGTACATGGTCCTCCCAAAACTGAAGTGGCCTCTTGCCATCTATGATATTCCGATCACAACAGTTACCAGATGGGAACAGAATACCAATAGTTTCCTCAGGAAGTGGTTAGGGGTGGGGCACACTCTGAGTGGTCTTTGTCTGTTCAGTCAATCATCCAGTGTGGCCTTACCGGTGAGCAGTTTGACAGATACATGGAAGATAGAGAAGTGTCGACTGTTGCAATCCTATCAGACATCTAAGGATGACCTGATTAAAGCAGTCCAGCCACAAGTTCGTTCTGGTAGAGTTTGGAGGCCTGAGACAGAACTGGAAGAGGCCAGAAGAGATTTGGTCTGTGAATCGGTGCGAGGGATGGTGCAACCTCAAAAAAGAGTTGGCATCGGTTTTGGTGACTGGAAAAAACCTTGGGAGAGGATGGATGAGCGGGAAAGAGAGAGGGAGGTCATGCTGAGAGTGAAGGAGAACATTGAAAGAGAGAGGGAGGTGCAAGTAGGTTCTCTGGAGATGCAGAGCAGGTGGGGTGAGTGGAGAGAGCTCGTAATGAAGACGGATTTGAGCTGGCATACACTTTTTAAGTATGGTGACTCACTTATTGGGTTCATGCTAAGTGCTGTGTACGGCACCCTCTTAACCCCCTCTATGGTTTCCAAGTGGAGTGAAGATGAGGATGGGAAGTGCAAGTTATGTGAGGAGAGGATGGGCACCATTCAGCACATTTTGGCTGGGTGTAAGGTGGCCCTTAGTCAAGGAAGGTATAGATGGCGGCACGACAAGGTTCTGAAGCAGATATCTGAACAGGTTGTCTTCCATTGTGATCGCCGAGTGAACACTTATAAGAACAAGGCCGGCGATGGAAGACAGTTCATTGATTTTGTTCCTGCTGGGAAGAGAAAAGCAGGTACAGACGACCGGAAGGAGAGTCGTGGTTTTGGGATCCTGAGTGGGTATCGGGATTGGATAGTGCTGTCAGACCTTGAGGGGCAGCTTAAGTTTCCCAGTGAGATTGTGGAAACACGGCTGAGGCCGGACCTTGTGATATTCTCAAGGTCGGCAAAGACAGTTATTTGGTGGGAGCTAACAGTACCATCTGAAGAGCGGATCGCTGAATCGCACGAGTACAAGCTCGACCGATACAGCGGTCTGCAGGCTGAGATTCAGGCGAAAGGTTGGTGCTGTTATAATGCCGCAGTCGAAGTTGGAGCTAGGGGAGTGGTTGCGCAGAGTTTGGAGAGAGCTGCGAGGAGGATTGGTTTTAGGGGAAGAGAGCTGAAGAAGCTGGTACGGGACAGCGGGAAAGAGGCAGCCCACTGTTCCAGATGGATTTACTTGTTATCGAGAAAGAGGGAGTGGGAGTTCAGGAAGGTTGGAGCTTGAGAGTTCACTATAACATCTAGAGGTACCATAAACGTTATCTCGTCGCCAATTGCGAGCTCTAACGGGTCTCCTCAAGTGACTCTCGGATCAGATAGTGGTTCAAGGGTGGACTGCTGGGGCGCCTGACAGGAAACCGTATTGCGATTAAAGCCCCGAAACGGTGTCAGGTTGGTAACTGATGATTCTGATCCATGCTCCTGTGAGTTTGCTGTTGTATCTCAACTCGCTAAACTGAGGCATCTCCGCATCTTGGGTGAATATGCGTATATCTTCATACTAAACCCAGGTGTGGCATGTGTCAGTGAATACGGGCGAGCGGATGCAATAGCGAAGGTGGTGTGGCAAGGCCTAAAAAACACAGTCAGATAGTTGTCAGCTCGCTGACTGTAAGGGAGAAGGTATATCCGTATTTCGCTGCTACTGATGCAGTCCTTGATCTGGCAATCAAGGCTTCTCTGTTTTTCGTCTAACTATGTACCGTTGGGCTTGTGGAACCCGTAAGGGGGACATACATAGGTTAGAATGGTTTTGTGCACCAAGAGAAGTGAGGGAATGAGGGTTGAAGAGAGAGAGCTAGAGAGTTGTTAGGGTGGTTAGGATCAGTAGGTGGAGTGTTTGGTTGGAGCGTTCTGTTTTTGCTGTATAGCATTTTAGTCACTCCGCAGTTTATTAACTGTGTCTCAACTCTAGCTTATCTAGCTTATCTAGCTTATCTAGCTTATCTAGCTTATCTAGCTTATCTAGCTTATCTAGCTCATCTAGCTTATCTAGCTTATCTAGCTTATCTAGCTTATCTAGCTTATCTAGCTCATCTAGCTCATCTAGCTTATCTAGCTCATCTAGCTTATCTAGCTTATCTAGCTTATCTAGCTTATCTAGCTTATCTAGCTTATCTAGCTTATCTAGCGACTGACTGTTGTGTACGTTGACAGGTTCATGGTACCAGATGAGTTTTGTAGGATTATAAGCGAGTTTGCTCTGGAGTACCGAACAGCGATTGAAGCGGTCGTACTGGAGCAGGCGAAGAAGAAGAAAATGAAGGTTTGTAAAACATACCTGTTTACCAAGTATAGTACCCCCGGGTACCCTTGGAAAATAATAGTTTACAGTGTGTATCTATTATTGTTACAACAAAATTGTCCAAAATTGGTACCAAATTTAAAGTTACCTAAAAATTTTCGCATATTCAAATGTTAATAAATTTTCATACGTAACCATTCTGAAATACATAGCAAAAATAATATGAACCCAACTAGGATCTGGAAATCTGGGCAAAGAATATTGGGCCAATTTTATAAATCCGAAAATGGTTACAAAAACAAACGGGCCCAATAATTATGGTAACAAATTGCCCAAAGATTATCCGACCTCATGCGACCCCAACAAACATACAAACATAAATAATTTTACTTATCATGTGCCATGAAACACACTAAACTAATGTTTATTATGACGATGTTACCACTGTGTAATATTAGATAATAGCGAGGAATTGTGCAACAATAATGGCTAGTTTGGGGAGTATTCAGTATGCGGTGTTTACTTTTTTGTGTGGTAGCTTAGGCAAAACGTATTGATGTCCAGGATAAGAACTAATGTACGCTGCATACTGCAAAGTATAGAGCCTGATGGGTATACTATAACTATATTAGCAATTCATGCTACATCATGATCCAAATATCTCAAAATATCCAAAAAAGCTCATACTGTAAAACAGCCACTAATGAAATTGTACCTCTCAACAGAGAAATTATAACAAGGTCACAAGAAGTATACAAAACGGAAAGGCAACAGACAAAGTGGAAACCACACAAAACGAACTCACAGTATCCCAAAGTTAAAGTTTTTAAAAGGAAGTGATAACACGAACACTAAACACAACGTCGGGTAAATTGGGTGGGCGAACACGTAACTCCCATCTATGTTATGAAATAATGTTCATAGTGTGAGGTTAGGACTGATGTTACAGGTGTTTAACAGGTGTGTAACATGTGTGTACACTAACTGGGGTGTTTACAGGTTGTTTTCACAGTGCCAAGAACATGTTACAGTGTTACAGGTGTGTAACTAGGTTGTATTATTTCGTAACAGACGCGGTGTCAGGGGAAAGTTAACTTTTTTTGTAGGTTGACTAATTTGGACTCTTAAGATTGGTTACAATAGGAAAATACGGACAATTCTTACAGTAGCAATAAAATCTCATAAAAGTAGCGAATATCTACACGGAGTTAAATGCAGGATAACAAGGAGCTGCATACAGTGCTACAAACGAAAAATACGGAGAGCGTGAAACAGATGTGTGTTTAATTGAAATGATCCTTATGAGAACGGAGTGAACATTCTCCGCGGCCGGTTCATTACATATGAACCATAGCCTTTGCAACAGGAGCCCGGTAAGGGGCCAGTAGGGGCTAGGGCGCATAATTAAGTAAATTAAAACTACATAATATCATTGACGAACAAAACCAAATAACAACTCGTCGCAAAGACTTGGTCGGTGCAGGAAAATGGTTTAGACATAAATGGTGGGCTATGGTTTTAAAGCCAAACTATTAGACGATCTAACAAATACCCAGGAGACATATAATTGTTTAATTGATCTTTTAGCAAAAAACGATAGCATATAAGGCCGTTTATTCTGTAAACGACTAAACGAGTCAAAATAAATATCAAGTGCAGTGCGTGGTTTCAAAACTTGCTGCACTTTTGAGAGAATCGGCAAGTCTTGTCAGTAAATTTTCAACATATCAAACGTTTAAAACTTTTTGAAAGGAGATTCATTGTGGTTGCTTTGTATTTGGGCTTAGTTAGAATATCATATTATAAAATTTTTTGGTTTCGTTGGTAATTAAATAAAAAATTTGCTCATTTGAAATTTTTAATTGTCTGTATAACAGGGATACGGACTCCGTCCCAAACCTCTAAGTCGTCCCGATCAGAGATAGGGGTGAAGTCTTATTTTGTTCAAACATTAAACTAACACAGCTATAAAACAAGTGTCCGTATTTAAAAGCGACCACAGTAACTAACAAACAAAAATATGACATGTTTGTCATGAAAAATTTAAAGCAAGTAAGAAATCACGAGTTAAATTCCTGTTTGGAACGGAGAGGTTGAGAGACTGAATAACTGGACGAATAATGGGGGGGGGTGGGGGGGGGGGGGACACGTTTCGCCTATGTCCGCGTATCTCATTGAATCCAAAAAGGCGGACGATAGCGACTATAGCGACAATACATTAGCTAAATTGTTGAAAAGGTATTTTGAGACACGAAGTGAGATGTCCGAGGACTGATGAAATTGATTAACTGATCTAGACATGTTAGTTAAAGATAAATACCTGAAAGTTAGATCTTTAGACCTGAACTGTAAATAATTAAGATATAGGGGCTAACTGATACTTGATCCTCATCAGAATGGTAAGGTTTAAAAAGAATTTGGAGTAAAAAGAGCGGGATACAAGGTTCAAAGAAGTAACTTTCACTGCAAGGCCAAATTTCATGGGGTATCAATACAAAACAGAGTATCTAATTACAAGCAGCCACATGACCGAACCGTGATCACCGCTAGAGCTGATCGCGTGACTGTCTAAGTCTAAAAAGGACACGGACATAGGCGGACGCGTCAACCCCCCACACCCAATAATAACGCTACGTGACATAAAAAGTTGCGAATTATTAGTACCTCAGACGATTTAAAGTTTTACTAACCTTAGAGAAACATCCTCACATGTTCTGGTTAGGAGACGTGTTGTAAGGTGTTTCCTCATTGCGCTCTCCTCCGCCAAAACACAAAACATAACGAAAAACTCAACTTAATTTTAATACTTATTTCATCTGTCTGAACTTTTTATCTGCTTATACTTTAAAATCCGTCATAGATCAGCTGAGTTTTATTTCTATCCTGGTTATATAATCAGCCAATGTTTTGTCAGTATCACATTTGCAATTGTCCGATACAATCCAAGACGTTTTCATCGGTTCACGGATCTAGTGTTGTGCAAGTGTTGCTTTTTGAGAAAATTAGCATCTGAATAAATCTTGAAGTATGAAAGGTAAATATGAAAACACAAATAGTAGCAATATCGATAGAAGGTTATAACCCGAAAAACCGTCCAAAATATAATATTAATATGATATAGAAAATTCGATCTTGACAAAAAGCGTCGAAACGTTACACGAGACAACATGATAGTGAAGTCGGAGAGACTTCCTGCACAATGTAATAGAACATAATCAAAAGTTGACTAAATGGTAATTAAAAGCATAATTACACCAAACAAACACACCAAAAACACACCAACCATACACGCAAACAAAACACACACAAACTACAATAATAAACAAGGATGGAAACAAGCAGTTACCCGACTCCACTCTCAAGTAGGGATCTAATAGAATGTGATGAAATTTCACAGTTCACAACTTCATTGCAATGAAATAAAGACTAACTCGATTCGCGCTATCATCATCTCATAACCTGTTGAATTATATAATAAATGTTAAGTTTAACAACAAAAGTTTTACAGAAATGTCAATGAGTTGGATTTAAATGAAATTAAGTAAAATGTAAAGGAAATATCGATTCCTAACCACATCAAACATCTCACAGATCCATTATTAAAATATAACAATGAATAATAAAATACATTAAAAAAACACGACGTTATCTTGAATCTCCACTGAAACTACATACCATAGTTATTATGCTGATACGAGGTTTTATAATGAACTACAAGATAGGCCCGGGGGTTGGGTCAAGGGATAAGGCTAATAAAAAATATTCTTTGATATACAGTATTTTATCGCATCAAAAAAAATCCTCCCAACGGAAGATGCAGTCAACACTGTGCACGTGCGCGATTTTCATCCGCCGATTACTACTAAAGTCAACTTCTTATTTCTCCTCAATTTGCACGTGGCGCGGACAAACAAACAAACCGACAAAAAGAAACTTTTGAATTACAATAGAGATGATCTGAATGTAAACACATCTAATTGGGAAGGAGCCAATCAGTAGAGCGAAGGATCAGGATAGAAAGTGAAGGGTGGGTAAAGAGCGGAGAAGAAGGAGCAGGGTGGGGAAGGAGCATGTAGGCAGGCGCATGGTGGAAAGAGCAGTGGGAAGGAGCAGGTGGGAAGGAGCAGGTGGGAAGGAGCAGTGAAAGGAGCAGGTGGACATGAGCAGGTGGGAAGGAGCAGGGTGGGAAGAGCTGGTGGAAGGAGCAGGTGATAAAAGGGAAGGGTGGGAAGGAGCATTGTGGAAAGGAGCAGGAGTGGAAGGAGCAGGGTGGAAGGAGCAGGGAGTGGAAGGACCATGTGAAAGGAGCAGGTGGGAAGGACAGGGTGTAAGGAGCAGGGTGGAAGGAGCAGGTGGAAGGAGCAGGGTGGTAAGGAGCAGGTGGGAAGGAGCAGGGTGGCCAAGGAGAGCAGGGTGGGAAGGAGCAGGGTGAGAAGGAGCAGGGTGGGAAGACAGGGTGGGAAGGAGCAGGGGAAAGGAGCAGGGTAGGAAGGAGCAGTATAGGAAGGGACAGGGTGGAAAGGAGCAGGGTGGGAAGGGTAGCAGGGTGGAAGGAGCAGGGTGGGAAGGAGCAGGGTGGGAGAGCAGGATGGAAGGAGCAGGGTGGAAAGGTGAGGGTAAGGAAGAAAGCAGGTGGGAAGGAGCAGGTGGGAGGACAGGGTGGAAGGAGCAGGGTTGGAAAGAGATAAGGAAGAGTGGTTATTACAATAACCCAAACTACACGGTACTCAGTACAATGTTGTAACAGTTATTGATAATTTCCCGACTAACCCCACACGATACACAGAAATACAAACTTATACACAACACCACAGCAGACAAAGCTCGAACGAACTGAAACTGCAGACCTTAATACGTATAACTGTGACGAATCACAAAATACACTTCGCGAACAAAAAAACGGCCGGAGTCGAGTTAACCTCCAACACAATGAACCACACTCACACTGACCCAACCTCAAATTTCCCCCTATATATAGTGATGGTGGGGGAAAGTGGAGCCCGGAAGTGAGTGTTTTAAAGTCAAGAGTTGTGAATGAGGCACAAAGAGAGTGGGGCATAATTTGGGGTTAATTTAAGAGTAATGCGGTTTTCCGCAGTTTCGTCAGTGTGTGCATTAGAGGGTATAGACGTAAAATGGATACGCAATTATTATAATAGTTTTGGTGAATGTTGTCCACTATTTGGTTAGATTGTTAGTCCCGACATAGCTCTGTATGTGTTTTCAGCTACTCGCGCTGCAAAATTTTCTATTTTCATCCAATACTGTCGGCTGTTATTACTGACGAGGGTTTCAATCTGGTGATTAATTTTGTGTCGTACGAGAACATTATAAGCACTTAATAACACGTGAAATGTTTGATTGTGGGGTACATTGTTGAGGAGAGGGTGGTATTTTCTTCATAAAATATTTAAAAACTGCCAAAAAAGGGTAAAGTGAAATTGACGAATAAAACATACGTAAACTTCTGATCGGTAACATAATAAATTATCAGAACAATATCGTCAGCTCCCAGAATTACGTAGGTGTGAAGAATAAAAGGGATCTCCAGGAAAACATTAACATTTATTTTATCGTGATTCGTTTTTATTTACTAGACATTTCTAACCAATGTGTTTAATGTTATCAGAATACTTACGTGTTTAGAATAAGGGTCGCCGAAAAATAAATTTAAAAAAATAAAAATTTGACCTGAAAATAACCATGACGACCCTGTTGTCACTTTGATTGATCAACACTGATAAAATAACACTTGATCTGACTAAAAGTCATCCTATAGACATTATATTGCCCCAGTACTCATTTCTAATATCGCATCTCTGTCTTTTATACTTAACATCTATAACTGCAATTTGGAGTTTAAGAAGGAAACTTTAAATTCCTCCGCTTCAATTAAACCACAGCCACAAACGCTGGCCTCTTAATTCCTAACATATAATGTTAGTCTACAACATCTCAGTCCCAACTATTAGCGCCTCAACAACTACCAGCACTCCGCTAGAATCAACCCTCAAACACCACCTCTCTCACAGGAACCATTCATAGCGTTTAAACAAATCAGCAAGGTTACCGAATGTAGCAGCAGCCCACCCAAACTTGACCTGATGTATATTAAGCATTTTATGATATACATCATTATATCATTCTTGTTCTGGGAGAGCATACTGCCTTATATGGCTTTATTGGGCGGAGATACCATCTTGCACACGTTATCCCATCAAAACTACCAGCTCCCTTAAGTTTAACATTATGAAAGAAATCCCCTGATTTAGTGAATTTTGCCATTCAAGGTCTAGAACCAGCCAGGAACCTATCTGTTAGATATGGTCGGAAAGTTCTGGTTAAAACTATAAGCGTTTTAAACAGACGGAGTGTTTTAAAAGTCAAATCCCCAAATGTAGCTCCTCCAGGCGAGATTACTACACTATGGAAGTGCAGAATTGTTAGGTTTCAAGGTATAGTCTGTAGACTGCAGGATGATTTAAAACTTATTAAAGTAGGTTAAAGTGCCGAAATTTACTCTAAAAATATACATAAAAGGTAGCGCATGTCGTAACCCATGTTGAAATAGAGTTGCTGACTTTTTTAAAGGCATGGGGCTCCAATAAAGAACTGAAATCGTTTAAACCATAATCTATGTATTTCAAATGTTTCACCACCATTTCTCATCAAACCGAAATAAGTACAACGTAGAAAATTGTCGTCATAATGAAAATGACGTAAATTATGTCAAGTACCAGATGATAGTAATAATAAATATTTATATATAAAAAAAGGTTAAAAAAAAAAAAAAATAGAGCTGATAGTAATACCATGACTAGGCATTATACAACAAAGATATAATAGGGTTGTATTTTAAGCTGTACTGTGTAGCTATAAATATTATATTAATGTACATGGAATTAGGAAATTGAAGTACACTCTA